TTTGAAGAGGAAGGAGAGGAGGATGAGGCTTAAGTCCCCTGTTATCAAAGGAACTTCTGTAAAGCAGGCATGTGTACTGAATGACTTCTGATAGTGGTGGTGAAGCATGTTCTCTAGAAACTGTGTACCTAATTATCCTCTCAGCACTTGTAACTTTGACAGATTTCTCAGTGTAACAGTTCTGAATCCCAGTTATTACAATGTTTTTGTCCTTTAATGTTAAGAGCACATAAAGGCATGTATTCTAGATCATGTTTTCTGTCTTTCTTAACTCTATTGGACACAGAATAGCTATTTGGCCCATGTGGCAAGAAGTAAGTTTAAAGACATGTTAGAAGCCTTGCAGCACACTGGTGTGCTCTGATCCACTGGGGCTTACATATTCTCAAAGCGTATGCTTCTCATGCAAATATCTTTCATGGTTTTTCTTACAGGACTCAAACCTACCTATAACTTGAATGACAATGGAAAGCCAACTAAAATTCCTAAACAAGGCGAGGACAAACACCTCTAACTTGTTTTAAAGTTTAAGTCAGTGTAGGAAATCTTCCACTTGTCTGTTGAAGTCCTCTGCAAAACGCAGGTGTAGATTATGCTTTCCTTCTGGCATCAGAAGCAACCTTAAAAGAGGAAAAAAAAAAATCAAACACTGAATATACATTATATTCTGTGAGTATAGGTAATTAAAATATTTGCTGCCTTTTCCTTGCTCTTGGTTACCCAAGTACAGAACTGAAATAACTCTTATTTTAAGTACTATCCCTATGTTTGTTGTTGAGAATGTGAACCACAGCAACAGTTGAAGCAATAAGCATACTACTTGCTCCACTTTGGGGAGGATAAACTAGGCTTAAAACAAATTTTTGTGTCCTAGATCCAGTTTCTAGGAACCTTTCTGGTGGTCTGCAAAGAAGATAACATTCCAAAACTTATGTGAGCAGGATGCATGTTTGAAAGGTATGTGAAGAACCTGAGCTCTTTTGCCTGTTTCGGAGAACAGTGGTTGTGCTGGGCCGGGAACACATTGAAGAGATCACTACAGAAATGTAGATTTCTTGTCACCACCCAAACTTAGCATTTGAACTTTGTCTAATCCTTCTGCAAAAAGACAATCCAAAACTAACACCATTTATTCACCCATTAAAGTACAAAGGGAAGTCAGGACTTCTTCAGCTAACAAAAGCTTAATACTGATGTGACTGTGACAAGCCTAAAATGCCACTTGCCATTGCTTTCTGGGGAAAAACTTCATACATCAGGTATGTACTTCTAACACTTCTTTTCTTTATATGGGGGTGGGAAATTCTTTAAATTATTTTATCCTACCACATAGTAATCAGTTTCAACAGAGCTAAAGCGATCTTGACTGATACTTCGCTATGTTGCCTTCACATTATCTAAGCCCCACTACAGCAAGGGCAATCTTTCCTCCTTTTGTGGTGACAAGCACTGTTTTCTCTTGGGGAAAAGAGCAATGGCGTGTGAACATACCCAGCTCTTCTAGCACTTTGTCTGAATTTCATTAAGTGTGTTTATTCAAAGTCCAAGCAGCACACAGATGCACAAACCTATAGCACTGTGTATGCTATTAGCTACTGCTGTTAAGCCACTATAATGCTACCTAACTCTAGCCATGCTGTGCAAATACAGAATGATGGCACACTCTTTTACCATGAGAGAAACAATGTATCTGCACTACAATCAGCAAAAGTTTTTTCTACTTTACTACTAGATAAAAATCAAGGCAAAAAAAGCTGACTGTAGAAGCATGTGTTACTGAAAATATGCTAAATTTAAGGTTTTTCCTTCTGCTTTACAATGGAACATGTCATCTCCAGTGCAACAAGGGAAGAAGGGGACCATGTACCTAAGTATTAACTTCTGAGAACACTGTTGGTCTGATTTCTTTTCTGATGAATGCATATGGGGGAGCACTTCATCATGAAGAGCATCTTTACATTTTATTGGATAGCAACTTCTAATGCCGTTTCCTCCTTGGCTTGTCTTCCAAAGAGAAGCTATCAGATCCTTGTCTAGTTTTTTGTGATGACTTGCCTTCGTCAGCATCTGGAGCATTTCAGAGTTCAGTGAAGCCTAACAGGATGATAGGTGTTATGAGCAGGGCATGTGGGAGTGAGTAACTAACTAGCAGACATGGAATAAAACACCTGCATGTGATTGTTAGGAAGGTCTCATTCTCAATCTTTCCTGTGGCATAATGCATTTCTATGAACAGCGAGGCTGACTTTGAGGTAAATATATCACTCAGTTCTTCACAGAGATGACACCAATCCTACACTCTGCATTCATAAAAATGGTTTTTGTTCTCCTAATCCTTTTTTCCAGTCTTAATCATCACAGTCTGTTATTAAGTAGTAATAGAATACTTTAGTTTGTGTGCAAATCTATGAAGAAAATTCAGCTGGTGAAATCCCAGCTTTTTATAGGAAGCATTTCTGGAGTTTTCAAATGAAGCAGATGGCGCCCAAAGATTTTTCCTGTTTATAAAGTAATATCTCTGAGCATAGTTGTACATTTTTGCTCATTCTGCTGAAATGAGAAGGCAGAGCAAACATTGGTATCCTGTGCTTCTCTCTAAGAACTGGGTATCTCCATTCATAGCATATAAATTCACTGCTCTACTGAATGGGACAGAAATGAGGTGTCTCACAGTAAAAAGAATGCAATGGCCATAACAGAGAAGAAATTTGCTTGTTTCAATAAATGTTAGGGAGTGGTTCTGTGTGTGAAGTAGAAAGAGGAAAAGGACTTTCCTTGGAGGACTTTAGGAAGGAGCTTATAAAAATATTATACTTTTTATATCATATAACTTACCGGGAGCCTTTGATGTGCTTATGAATGTATTCTGCATGAGCTTGTGGAACCAAAGCATCTTTCTCACCATGAATTATAAATGTGGGACATTTAATATCTGGCAGCAACTGTTGGCAGATATTACCTAGGGAGAAAATAAATGAAGGTCACACTTCATTTTAAAATAGTGTGAAAGACTGAAACTGCTTCTGTAAAGGACTGTGAACTCCACTGGGTTCTAGCTATTGCCTCTCCTTGTAGATAGCGTGCAACTAATCTACAGAACTATGTAATCAGGACTTTAATTAACATTCTTTCTCCAAAATGTTACTTCACTGAAACTTGCTTCATTAACGGATACTAACACAAATGGATAGAGCAAATGAAGTACTTCTGTCCCACGTTTCCCCCAGGCTCTGACTGTTCAAAGCAAACACATATATCTGTTTCCCGGCTTTGTTCTTTTCAGCCATAGAGTCTTATGTCCTTCGTGTTTATGCTACATTTTGTTACATTGGTTGTCAGGTTACAACATTTGCTGCTTTTATCAGCAAGGTAACTTAGGTTGTACTCTTGCCTGTTCCACCTTCCCGATCCTTTGCTGTCTGCAGTGAATAACCATTTAATACAAATTGCACTAGAACTATTCAAAGTTATTCTCCCTGCCCATTCATCTTACAGAACCTCAAGAATAATTTTATGCTTACTAGTCTTTAATCTCACTAGAAGTAATTTTAATGCTTTTCCTTAAAGACTCTTTTATTTCCCCCTTTTTTTATTGCCCCCTTTCTTTTTCCTCATCTCTTAGTAATACAGTTTCCAAACTCTTTGCTTAACTTCCTATGTTCTCACAAGAAATTCTGTGGGCAAAACATACTTGATGAGTTTTATGTTCCATTTATTTGTAGTTGTCTCCTTGCAGCTACCAACAGCTGTACAGTTAACGCTCATACCCTAGCTCTAAAGTCATACACTGTTTCACAGATTTTTTCCAATTGTTTGGTTATTTATATAGTCTTAGTTTGCAGTTCCTACCAGTTAAATATTTTCATTTAGAACATTTCACCCATGGTCCTCAAACACCTGCACAAATGTTGACTGTTTTTTAGAACAAGTAACAAGTAAATTTAAGTTATTTACCTAAGGACATAGTTGGCAGTCAAACTATTATTTCCTAGTTTCCAGATCCTAAAACTGTTTTGTACTATAACCGCTAGATTATATTTGCTCCAATAACATAGAACAGCAAGACGAATCTTGAATTCTGCAGCTTTATGCAGCTTATTCAGTTTCCTTAAGTGTTGGCACCTTCTAAAAATTCGTTTCTTATAGCTTTTGACACTAAAAGCTGTCCCTTTTAGGGCAAATAATCTTATTTCTTAAAAAGAGCTTGAGTTGGTTTTGACCAACAGAGGTTTTGCTGTCCTCCTTTTATCTCTGATGGGTTTTATTAACCCCTTTACTTGTATTTGCCATTAATAACCTTTTGTGCAGTGTGTTTAATTCAAAGGAGGCCTGCTTGTGTTTGAAGTTGCCCTCCCTGAGCTACTCCTGGAAAAAAATTGCAGTGTGACGGTTGTTTATCTTTTTTAGGAAACGTTAGGCTTCTCCCAATATCTGACCCAGTTACAGCATCTAGGTAATTCAGCTCCTTGTTAACGTGTCTCCAGGTGGCTTCTTTTTCGCAGTCACTCCACCTCATAGTGTTTGAGGCGTATGCATGCAGGAAAAGGACATCACAGCCAGAGTTTCACCAGCCTGGGCTTTGGACTTTAGAATAAATTAGTTTTAAGGAGATGCATTCTAGAAAGGGTAAAACAAAATCAGATCATAATTTGTTATATCTCTCTACTGGGAGAAATTCTAGTACCGTGTTGCTGATCCTGTGCAAAACTTTAAGGAAAAAATACAAAATGAAGGAATATTTTCCTTGTAGTACCTGCTGCCTGTTAATGTATGTCACCTCCTTTCACTGAGAGCTACAGGAAAATGTATATAAGAGAATTACAGATTCCTTGTTTTATCTACTATGTATTTCTGCTTTAGGCAAATGAAAAGCAATTTTCCTCTGAATTAAAACAGAACTGCAGGTTATTGTCCATTTATCCCTGGCTGCAAAAGTCTATGTAGAGTAACTTTAGAAATCTTCAGAGATAAACATCTAAGAATTTTTATATTGTAGTTTAACTATTCTTTTTGGATTTTAAACACCTAAGCTGTGTCAGTAGTGTTTTTTAAATGTGTTTTGTTAATTCTGAGTTCCCAAAATCTGAATTTCCTTCTTTTTTAACTCATTATATGCTACTAGTTTTGAAATAGTGCTTCAGCTCCTGTTTGCAGAAACTAGAATGTACACACCTCACTTTTGGGATATCTTAACAATGTCACCAAGAGGTAATCCTTCGACACTGAGAGAGGAGAAAAAAGCTTGAGCAGAATCCCTCCTGTTCAGTCTGCACAAAAACAATGATTTAATAATGTAGTTTTGTGGTGGAACAAGAGGAGGGACTCACAAGCTAATGCTTCCTATAAATGTGTTTTCCTCCTGTACCTTGCTGGTTCTGTGAACCATCTACGAAGTAATTGCTTTATTCATGAGTGTGAGTCAGACCCAGCTTTTAATGCCATATGCAGAGTCCTTCCTTTACTGGCTGCTAGGAGAACTGTTAGATTTTTTTTTTTTTTTAATCCAGAACTGTCTGCTACTATAATTGCTTCAGTTTAACACTGTAAAAGCCTTACCATCTGATTTTTCAGCAAAGCGAGATATTCCATCTACCCAAGCCTCACAGGTTTTTGCAAAGTACTTATGTCCATACATCTCTTCCAGTGGTTTCTTTACCTTTTCACTCCATTTTGAAACATCTCGGATGCCTACATAAAATAATATTGAAATGTGTTAAGTCCTTTCCAGCAAGAAGATATAACCCAGTACTGGCAACACCTAATATGAGTAAGTTTTCAAACCAGACTGCAATATGTATTTCAAACCTGAAATTGCACTGAATGGTTTTAAATAATTCATAGCACGGAAAGGATATAAAAAAGGTGGTTTTATGATCTCTGCTGGGGTCTTTCTGAGCTGCAGAAGACCATCTTGTTATTATGGTCACAAGGAACAACAGGAAAAAAAGAAATAATCAAAGGACCCAGTCCTAAAACTTCTGTTTCTTTTTGGAGGGCGTGCAGAAAAGAAGCTCAAGGAGGTACCTTGTGTATAAAAAGGGGACTGTTTTATAACAGTGTGCCAGAGCTGGCAGTTCTTTTTTATATCCTTCAGCCTTTTGCTTTGGCTCATGGATGGAAGTTCTTCCATGGCTCCTACCAGTATTCAGAGGAAGGAAGCTCTTACTAAGGCATTCCAGCAGGCTGACATCATGGTACATTTGCCATAGTCTTACAGAAAAACAAGCAACTCTACTTAGTAGAGCCCCGTGACTCATGGCAGACTGGCTAAAGCTGTACAAATAATCTGACATTCTAGTTACTTATTTATCAGAACTACCTATTTTTTCCGCTAAAATTCTCAGTACTGCTCACAAACCAGATATCCACAAGGGTGACTTTCACTAAACTATATTTCAGCTGTACAGCTTTCTGTTGATAAAGCCCAAAACAATGTTGGCATAGCAGAGAACCTGAAAGAGACCTGAAAAGTACTGAATCATCAAACAGCAATATATGGCACTAGAAAAGCTTTTAATTGGTTTCAAATGGGAATTAAGGAAAGAAAGGGCTGAGGTGTTAATTAACAGACAGAACCTGTCCAGCCAAATGAGCAAGACAGTAGTGACTGAAAGTGATTTATAACAACATCTGATTGGAAATGAGTTTGCCTACCCCAGGCTAGCTGCTACTGAACAGCTGTTTCCCGTATAGAATCTACTGGTTTATCCTTGTGGCTGGACTTAATTTAAGAAGAGAGGGGGGAAAAAGCCAATGTTGAAAGGACATAGATACCAAATAAACACCTTTCTCTCCTACCAAACCCTCCATTGCAGCTGAGATGCACTGATGAGCCAGTTGTAGAAGGCTTGCGCTGCTACTCTCTGAGCTCTATCACCCAGAGAGAGATGTTGAAAGCACCAGTCCATGAAGAGGCCCAAAGTCAGCATTGCTGTGGGCGCTCTGTGTAAAGCAAGACTTCTTTTTTTAAATTTTTTTTTTCATATTATAGCCTGTTGGCTGATACTAACTGATGTGCATTTCATAATTATATAATAAAAACTTCATAAATATAAAAGCATGTAAAGAAATAAAGTAGCACTTTTACAGAGCTAAAAAGCATTTTGCTTACTGAACAAAAAATATACTATTACTACTACCAATGAAAGTGCTTTGGTATAGGTGAGGTACGTATACATATGCAATACATACACTTTTAATTTAGCTGAAGTCAGACAGTTAAATTTCACAACTGGTATAAATCAAACCCCAATCACTAAAATGAAACTATACTGGGTTACATTTGTTGAGAGCCTACATGGTTAATTCTTTTAATTTCTAATTTCAAAAGGAAATACACTCCCTTTCTGAGTTCACTAGCAGTTTTTGCTAGTTTCCTTTAGACTGACAAATGATCAGATTCTATTTCACGTGAGTGGAATAAGGATCAGAAATCCCATGTTTCTTTACTTTGCAAAGGTTTTGTAATCACAATAATTAACTTTAAAGGAATGCAAATTAGAAAGGCATCCTCGGACACTTACTTGAATGATTCATTTGCTTCCTGAACTCAAACAGTAAGTTATGAGCTTGTTTTCTTACTATTTATGTATTACATAGGCCCTAGAGGCAAAAGCTGGCATGTGCTAGCCCAGTGATTTTCTGTGGACCTTGTTTAAAGGCTGTGCAAAACGCGAGAAAAGAAATCAAGCCTAGGTTCAATACTATTATGTGGAATTTATTTTTAGGAATTTGTTACAGCAACAAAAATTTGACTTTCTGAAAACTACTGACAAGCTATTATAACTTATGCTTTTCAGCTGCTTAAGTTGGTAAGGACTTATTAAAAATTCTATTATATTACCCCGAGAGTAATTGTTAGGGAGTTTCTCACTATGACTTTAATCCATCCCTATACTTAGCAACTTCGTGAATTTTGTGTCGAGTTTCTTTAGGTTTGTTGTGTCCTCAACTCTGTCTCCACTTAGCTGCTACATGACTAAGATTCTTAGGTCAAGAAGAAATGGAAATAATTCTTTTAGGACACGATATTCCGCTTGTACATACCATTATAAATTCTCACATCCTCTTGAGTAACGCTGGCATTTGCTCCCCAGACAACCAACTTGTGGATAAGAGTTGGATACTTTGCAGCTGCAATGAGTGCTGTAATTCCACCATCACTCCACCCCAGCAAAGAGAACTTCTTAAATTTCAGTGCCTTGATTTGTACAGTAAAGTTCCATGCAAATCATCAGCTTATTTACAAGCAAATATCAAATATTTCTTGAAAACTAACTGTACAGATTTAGACACAACATTACATAATTGAACTATATTTAGCTTTCATAATTAGAAAATACAATTTTCCTGCTATGCATAAAAATACTTAAGAAAAGGTCAAATATTTAGAAAACAAGAAGTTATAGCTGCCCTTCCAATTTTCTACAATATTTAATGAAACAGGCAGTAGCCATATTAGATTCTTGCTGCATTTAAAAAAGTTCTCTTGACATTAAGAAATGTTTATTTACAATGGACAGTAAAGACCTTTTCAGACAGCCTGATGATATCAAGAATCTCTGGATTCTCTTGGTATAAAGTTGGCAAAGACTATCACAGTGTGGGATGGTAGGTAATCCAAGACCAAGATGAACTTAAGAAAAAGAAAAGTTTAAGACTTGAAAAATAGAACCCAGTGATCTGATGCTAGCTGATCTAAAAAAAAAAAATCTGCTCTGTAACAACCAAAAAATGCTTAAAGTATTTGCTACAGGATTGTATCAAATTTTAATGCCTAATTCACATTTTCTGAAGCTTATAAGTGTACATTTTAAATGTTACTTCATGGTGAACTGCAATTCAAAACATTAATAATGAAATTCCTCCTTCTCGAGAAGGAAGGCTCAGGGCAAAAAACATGACAACCAAGACCTTAATTCATTCTGACTTGTACAATGCTTTCCACTGGAATTTGAAACTCTTGTTTCCTCATATGCCACAATCTATGGTAGGGATACCGGCAGGGACAGGAGAGGGGATTTTGTGTATGTGATGTTCAGTGGGCAAAGGGTGGGGAAGGTAAAGGCACTCAGGAGCAAATGCATCTGAAGGTTGTTCAGGGACAATATTCAATGGTTAAGCAGTATTGCAGTTTTGCATATAGAAGCCTCAGTTTGTGAACTCTTTCGCAAACAAACATAAAGGTCTCAAAGGGGTTTTTTTTTGTTTTGGTTTTTTTTTGGCAGAAATTACAGCCTTCTAGATGTGATTAAGGAAGATATTGTACTTTCGCAGGAAAAACAGCAAGTTAGCTGAATGGGTTGTTTTGGTGCTTGGTGATTTGTCGTTGGAAGTCCAGGCCTGCTTTCTTTGGACAATGAGAGAAACAACTACAGAGAGAGAAAAAGCAGTTTCTAATCTGCTTGTAAACTCGATGTTCAAGTGAAGCATAACTTTATCAGTCAACTCGATACCTAGCAAACTTCTATCACTATCAGGCTTTTCTGGTTTTGGCTTCTTCCTTGGTATTAGGCTCACTGAAGTGTTGCTCAATACTAGATTTCACTCTGCTAAGCTATAATTACTAAACAGAAAAGAAATAAGGTAGGGGAAAGAAAAGGACATGTAAAGTAAGAGCTGACAGCAAGAAAAGAGAACCTTGAATTTTAGCAGCTGATCACAAGTTGGTCCTGGCCTGATGAAAAAGTAGTTATCTGTGACCAACTTTCAGTATCGTGCTGCTGAAGGGTTACTGGTGTCTTAGCAAGTTTCAGGAGTTGGCAGCAGTGCTTATAAAGCTTAAGGTTTTGCTGTTGCTGCTGCTGTTCTCCTACCACCACTAGCAATCTACGGATCTCAAAGTCGGCTGACGGGTGGAATAGCTGATTAAAATTTTTATTCTTCATGCCAGGTTCTTTGCCAATGCTTCAACTGAGATCTGTTTGCCTCCAGTATTTCTCTTGTTTACGAGCCATTATCTTGATGCATTCTTTGGGTTGTCTCAGGATGCCTTTGCAGCAGAAGGAATTTAATTGATTCTTTGCAGCCTTCCAAAAAACAATGTGACATAACAGATGTGTTGGATATGATATGTATGTGTGCTTGCTTTAATCTTGAATTACTTACAGTACAGGCCTCTACCTAACATTGGCAATAACCTGAGAGCTGGTTGCACCTCCTCAATTCTGTGGGTGATTTTGTGTTGGCCTTACCCCAGTGAACAAAATCTTTTTTGAAATCACCTCCTCCATCCAGGCCTTTGTGAAATGCAATCAAATGATCACGTATGCCATGACAGAAGTAACTTACAACAGTGAGTTGCAATACAACAGTACTCTGTACTGTATGCTTTCATTGGATCACAGGAAGTACACCACAAGTAAGGGTTGCAGTTGATCTACAAAAACTTGGAGAAGCCCAAGCCCGTCCTTACACTAGGACAGTAGCTCTGAAGAGTAAGAACCTCTTGAATATCAAGACTAATTATTTCCATGATTGTTTTAATGCTATTGGCCTTTGCTATTTTTAGACATTGGGATGGAGTGCAGCAAAGTGGACTTATTTGCATTATACTCCTTTTATTTCAAGCAAACTCCTTCACAGAACACGTACGGTGATAAAGAGCAGCGTCATCTGCATCAAGGTGCTAAATACTCTGCAGAATTTCAGCTTTTGTTATTTGACAGAAACCTTGCAGCACTCACAGCCCCAGCAGAGGCACCAGAAATCTGAAGGAGCCTAGAATAAAGGTTCTGAAGGCTCACCTATACAGACGGGTTTTCTGGCTGAGTGTAGGCAAACCACATACATTATAAAGACCTCTGCAGGAGTTACGACTTTGTTTTATACTGGAAATCCTAGCTGGGATGATTCTTTGGGATTGTGCTAACCTTTATATATTATGCTAAAATAGAAGCAAGTTACCACTCTTGGGAAGATTTTAATAATTTGTTGTTATTATATGCTTATATCAGTAAACATCTTCAAAAAACCAGAATGCTGCGTCTCATTTGTTTTGGCAGCTTTAGAGATTGGTAGGCTGCTGTCATGTTTGACTGGATACTACATGGTTACATTCTCTTTGGGGACAGCTGTTTTCTATTTTGCATTTATTAGTATTTGGACAGAGGCAGGAAAGGGGGTTACAACCACTTAGACTGGAAGTTTGTCACCTATCCATGGCAGCATCTTTATCTTCTTTGTTAGTGAGGCAGAAGAAAATGGTCATTTATGGTGCAGAGAGATTGCTTTTATGGTTAGAGGGCAAAACTCTGTCTTAATCCTGATTCTGCTGTCAGGCTTATTTTGTTTCGCTACGCAGAATGCTCCGGGAAGGCTGCATTTCCAGTTTCAGATGGGTTTCTGTAAGGTTACTGCTTATTACAGAAATAGAGTTGGATTGACTGTCTGAATCTTGTCTCATATTTTTGGAATTTTAATGCTCTGCCAACTTTCTTAACGTGGCCAAGGAGACTGTATAGCTTAACATAACAAAGCCAAAATATTAGTTAAAACTAAACCAGAAAATAGTGTTAGCACTTATAGGACGGAATAAAAGAGGAACACAGAAACATAGATTTGAAATAAAAAATTCTGCAAGATGAAAAGTAATAACTGCTTTAGGTCATATTCTGTACAATCACAATAGCTGTATTAGTTATTAAGATCTGATATGACCACAGGAAACCTTCGATTTCCCACACAAATTATTTCAGTAATATGCTGTAAAATGCAAAGTGTCAAGTTAATTTTTAGAATTAAATGTTTCTTGAAATGGGCTGCTCAAGGCAAAATGCCAAGATTCTATTAGCTAGAAAATTTTATAAGAACCTTTCACTGCTCTAATCCCTTCAGTTAAACCACTTAGCATAAACTTTGTTTTTTATACATACTTTACCTAAACTTGCATGCTTCTTGGCTGCAAACCTCGTAGGGCAGGGTCTTGGAATAAAAAAATATTGCTTTATAATGAATTGCTACTGCTCAACCTCTATGTATGTTGCAGAAGAGATGGAAGGAGAAAATATTTTCCAGAATAGTGTGCATCTGCCCAGTTTTAAGCCTTCATTTGTATGCTCTTTTGCAGAACTTGCTGTCTCCTGGAAACAACCTGCTTAACAGTACTCTTCCTCCTTCTCAAAATCTAACGAAAACAGCTTTTAAATATATCTATATCTAAA